TGAAGATATCAAACTATTAGTTTTGCATTCATTATATTAAAATAAATTATTTAGTTCAGTTACTTGAAAATTAAATGAAAAGAACAGATAAATATATTTCAAAGTATTCTTTTCACAATGTTTTTATTGTTTAATTGAATCTTCAGAATTTAAATAGAAGAGTTTTTGGAACAGTACTCCAAATAGAAAGATAATTAAAACATGAATTTTTCTGAGTACAGTCGTATGAAAGTTTAATCGATTATTTTTCATAAGAGATGATCAATAGCAAAGGTCATTAGATAATATCTTACTTTGAATTCAATTCAAATCAGTATGCATTAAAAAATTTCTACGTTGCGAAATAATAAAATTGCAAAATTTTTCTTTTTGATAAAAATATATGATTTATTTTTAACAATAACAAATGATTGAAAATATGTTTTAATTAAATCAGTTTATTATAAATGTAAAAATAATTGATTAAAATTAAAATTATTTATTAAATAGTATTTTAATAGCAATAGATTATAAAGCTGAAACAAATTTCATTGATTTAGTTATTTAATAAAACTATAATTCATATAGAATTTTCATAAAAACATAAAACTTATTGGCGATAGAAGAAATTTGTTTTTTCTTTTATAGATTGAACATATTTTGTTTCTCATGTTTCTAATAATTTAGAGTATTTTTCCAATTTTGTTTGTATGACTTTTGAATTCGTATTAAAAAGATTTAAAATTAGATTAGCAGTAAAGACATCATAACATAAAATAAAATTTTTCTAAAACTGATTTGCATTCGACAAAATCTCAATACATTAATCGAATATAATTAATACATTATCCTATCTATTGGAATTTTATACATTTAGCTTGTATTCAACATGATGAATTAAAGAAGTAGTATGGCAAAATTATTTTAGTATATTAATAAGATATTTAACATAACAGGAGATCTTCATGATGATTTAGTTTTTAAAATTTCATTAGAAGTTATTTGATCATTAACATTTAATAACCATATTTATAATATATTAATTAAAAAATTATGAAAATTGTTTTATTTATTTAAAAAATATTCTGCTAGCTACTAAAGGAATTTTATGAAAATCAGTAGGTAAATCTTAACTTAAAAAGACTATTATCAATATGCATAATATTAATAATTGCGATATTATCGATTTCATTATCGTCAATAGTGAAATATGAAAAGAACAAGCTACTTACTCATGACTATGAAACTAAACCAACGGTTGAGATTCAAACAAATAATATCGAGCAGAACTCTCAGCTTAAAGAACAAGTATGAATTTTACTCTAGATCTGTCTATTAATGTATTAAAAAGTGAAACGCACTCATATTTAGACTGTCATAGCGCTTCTTTTCAAATTATTACTTTTAATAGAGAGAAAATCAATGGAATTAATTTGTATGGTCTTTCAAAGAAAAGCATTTGGTTATAATGAAGATCTTTCGAAAATTCTAAAACATAAAATCTGAAAAGCTTGAGTAAAAAAAACGTATCAGTATAGCATTAACAGTATAATAATTTTTCTAATTAATATGTTACTTTGACATTTTATTATTTTCGGAAACAATATTTATACGAGTGATGATCTCCAGTAGGAATCTTAGATTCATTGAATGCTTTGGGAAATTTTAGACGATTTCAACATGATCTAACAGAAACATCCATGCCTTTTACGAAAGATTAGATCTTTGAGTATCTTTCATTTCAATTTTTCTAGGAAAGAGATTTTACGTATTTTCTTTGTCAAAATGTTGAAAAAGAACCAAGGAGGAAAAGCGGATTTTTTTGGATTTTAAAGCCCAAGAAATCCAAGAAAATTCCAAAAATCCCAAAAAATCGAGATCAAAAGTGACCTTCAGAAATAATCTTTAGTCATGTTTTTCAAGTATTTCGAACATAAATCAGCAGCTATCAAGGGTGATCAAAGTGAAAAATGACATCCCATCTTAAAAGAAAGCGTCACATGGCACGCGAATCTTCTGATGAGCGTACTGCAACTCCAAACTACTATAAAGGAGCCGTATTTTAATTGTATCTTCGCAATGATCGAGTGGATAAGACTGCATTACTCTACATGAAAATGCTCAAAAACCTAATTAGGTTATCTTTTTATAATTTTCAAAGAATGATTGGTTATGTTGATAAAGGAAAGATTGCATTTTTATATTTAATCCCTTGGGGACGGGAACCATATATATGTGGTTTGGGTGTGAATCAACCTATAATTAGCTTGGGTATATCTCTTTGAATACGACAATGAGCTAAATACTAGTTGAAGAGATAGATCTATCAATAATAATATACCCTTTTATAGCCTTCTATTTTTTTTTCTATGAATAGATCCATTAACTCTGTTCTCTCTTCTTACGTCATCACGACGTTCTCCTCAAGCACGGTTTGTTTCTTCTAGTACGTTCTCGCTCTCTTATAGTGCCTATATATAAATATGTCCTAGCATAGTTATACTATTTAAAATTGTTTCTGTTCCTTTACCTGACGCATTCAAAGGGCAGCAATTAGAACACTTGAAAGCAATGAGATGTTTTATGATGCAGAGTCTGAAGATGAAATAGATTCAGAAACTGAAGACGGATCTGAAATTGGTGAAGATAGTAGTTCGGATTCAGGAAGTAACATGGAGATATCGGATGATGATAATAATTTCTCATCTAATCGTTTGAGCCACTCTTCAAGTTCAAGATCATGGTAGAACGGAAAATTTGGACAAAAGCTATTTCAACTTCAAAGCGACAATTGTGGAATGTCCACTACCTTGAATGATGACTTGCCGTTAGATCTTTTCAAGTTATTCTTTGATCAAGAATTGATTCAAATTATCGTGGATGAGACAAACAAATTCCTTCCAAACGACATAGATATGGAGTCAAATTATTCATCTTGTTTGATTGTCGTACCGGATTTGTGTTAGATTTTGTCATTAACACCGGATCTGAAACACAGATCGAGCATAACAAAGGGCTAGGTATTGCAGGATCAGTCGTAATCTCAAGAGTTACACGCAAATTCAACTGGAGGCTGCGGTACAGTACGGGAAAATCGATCCGGGATGCCAAAGTTTACTGATCAGTTAGAAAAAGGTGATTGTGACTATCGACACACTGACATTTTACTTTCTGTAAAATGGTTCGACAATACATGAAGCAAAATTGGCAAACACTAGAAAAGTTCATTGGAAAACTAATGAACAAATTCAAAAACCAGTCTTAGTCATCGACTACAATAAAAACATGGGTTCCATTGACAGATCGAGTATGCAGATTAGTTATGTCGAATGTGTTCGGAAATCAGTAAAATGATATAAAAAACTTTTCTTTCATTTGCTGGATATGTCAGTGTTGAATTCGTATATCTTACACAAGTAAAAGACTGGTCAAATGACTCAATTTTGTGGCGTTCGACTTCAACTGATCTGTCAAATCATTGCATTGCATAGGAAACCAAAAGCATCAAGAGAGCGACCCAGTGATGGGGATAATCTGGCTCGATTAGTTGAGCACCATTTCCCAACATTTATACCTCCAACATCGACAAAACAAGACCCACGAAAACAGTGTATGGTTTGCGCAAATACTATGAGAAGAACTAGAAAGAAAGCTGAGTCTAGATATGAATGCGCTGAATGTAATGTTGGTCTTTGTATATCGTGCTGCTTTCGAGATTATTGTACCCTTAAATACTTTTAGATGTGGGCGCTCTATATTGATGGAAATAAATATATGCTTTGAGAGTTTTGAAAACCTTCATTTGTTTCATATAGTCACCCCGTCCTCAAGAAGTTAAAATGGAATAGTGATCAAGTCCAATTGAGATAAAATAGTATATCACTTGGTGTGGATGCAGGTTTTCTCCTCATTCACATCTACACTACCACTCACAACCAAAGTCATAGTAAAAAATCAGTAAAATTCCATATTATTTGCGCATGTAAATATTTGGTTACATTTGGTCAACGTTAGAAAGCAATAAGAAAAATATTTGCATTTTATCTTAAACTGTAGATCTCAAGCTCTTCTATCTAAATAAAAGGTCAAAATCAAAATGTTCATGTAGATGACAGGTCATCTTCATGCATTATTTTCCATGTTCTTTAGAGATGACTATTTTTAAAAGGATTTTGCCTAACACACTGTGTGAGGAAAATACGTCCATCTGTCTCATCTATCGTTTGGTGAAACCCGCAAGTCTCTAGCTCGTTGCGTTCTCGAGTTATTCAAAAAATAGTGGGACGCATTATATTTTCAAACGAGCAGTTGTTGAAATGTTGAGGCTTTTTTGATTTTCATAATTTTTTTTTCTTTATTCTATCAATATGATAATTTGAGTTGAATAGAACGGAAAAATCAAGATAAAAAAATTAACAGCATATGGCAAAGAATAAAGATAAATCTCTTATTATTATTATTCATATTCTCATTCTACTGACAATGAAGGATCGCCAACTGTTCGATGCCGATCGGACTCGTAATTTGACCATAGTTAGAACTCGGTGACAGTAGTAAAAGCTCAAAATAATACGTGTCCATGCCTTGTCCTTGAGAAGTTATGATGATTTTACTGAATTTTCGACCATAGGCAAGCTATTTGGGAAAAAGATGAATGACAGTGTTTTTTCTTGAAATCTTACCCATGAATAGGTCCCACTGTCGTTAGATTCTTCTGAAAATTTCAAGCCAAAACACTGTTATTCATCTTTTTCCCAAATAGCGTGCCTATGGTCGAAAATTCAGTAAAATCGTCATAACTTCTCAAGGACAAGGCATGGGCACGTATTATTTTGAGCTTTTACTACTATCATCGAGTTCTAACTATGACCAAATGATGAGCCCAATCCGCATCGAACAGTTGGCGACCCTCCATTGAGAGTTATACATTGATGTTCATTAAGGAAAAATTGACAGTGACATAAACCTAGTATTCTATTAATATGTTGTTGTTTTTTTTAATCATTAACACAGTGATACATATGTTAATCGAATTGTAAATTTTAAATTTAATCTGAATGATTAGATAGAACTCACTTAATTGTTTCTTTATTAGTATAAACATTCATTATCATCACTTTCAATTTAAGTAAATTAGATCTAAAACCAAAGTAAGAAATAGAAAAAACAATTTCAAATCATCATGTTTTTTTTTCTTTCGTTTTACCTTTTGCATCAATGTTGAAGCTTATCACATAGAAAAAAAAATTCTCAACAACAATGATTATTTCTTTATGTCTAGAAGAATCGATACAGTTATAAGAAAAGGAAAAATATTCATCAGTTTTCTTTTTTTTTTTTCATCAATATATTCAACCAATATTTATCAAATATGAATATGTTTATTTAATAAATATATGTATATGAATAGTGCTGTGTGAAGACATGAATTATACTTACATACAAAGCAATTCATGACACATACTTGTTCGTATTATTGCTTTTACTACTGGTAAGCCACACATTATATCACTTGGTCTATCGATAGTTTACAGGTGGTTTGAATTATATAATAATGACAATCTACGAATGTTAAAGTCCATAAGACATAAAAACTACTTTTATTGAATATAATAAAACGAGTAAATAGAATGAAAATGATTTTTTATTTGTCTTAGAATTGGACAAAGTCGTATTTGAAATAGAATCTAAAACAATTTTTCCAATAGTTTGATAATCACTTAATTCCATATATATTTGTGCACTAATTCGACAAACAATTGCAAATGAAACAGATATTTATTATTATAATCATCAATTAGCTAAACAAGCTGGTTATTCAATAGCACAAATGTGGAATAGTTCAATATTAACAATAAATGATCAATTTATAAGTACAATGAATAATATTGAATTACCTTCATTTATTAATACAGTAGATAAACTGAATATTTTATATCAAACATTAGTAAATCAATATAATATATTTTTACCTATGTTTCAATTTGATAATAAATTTTATTGTCGAATTAGTGCACAAATATATATGGA